GATCTTCAGTATAGATCCAGCGAAGACAGTTGTTGATAAATGTCTGCAACAGGCTGTTGGAAATATTCTTTGTGACCCGCCCGCCAAGTTTCTGATCCGTATAGAAGAGCTGACTGACTTGACGTTTGTATTGAAAATCCGACCGAATTTTGTTGTTGATGCTGGCTGAGTGACGAAGATTTCCTTCAAGATTGGTTTCAGGTTGATGTATGTGTTTTTCGCTCGCCCTCCCGATTCTCGCTCGATTTGACATCTTCGTCCGTTCCGACTGCCTGCAGTTGAGACAATGCTCCCTAGATAAGTGAGTGAATGAAGTAACCTCGTTCAAATCCCTCCCGTTGACGGTGACTGGCGCTGGATGTTGTTGTTGTTGGTTGGTTGGTTGGTTATTTCCATAACCTCCGTCTTGTCTTTGTTCACTTGGAGTCCTGTCTTTGCTGCTTCTTCGACCAGTTTGTCGGTTTTCGTTTGTAAGTCTTCGATATTGTGTGACATTAAACATAAATCATCCACGCGCGAAATCCAGGTCTTCTAGGTTCTTCACGCTGGTCCAGGATATTCCTGTCTTCTCGTTTCCCACTGTCTGACGCATAATCCAGTCAGTCCACCACAATTAGGAATATCATTGGTGATAGTAAGCACCCTTGTCTGACCCCTGTGTTTACTCCAAACACCTCGCTGAGTTTTCCGTTGTGGGTCACTTGGCAGGTGGCGTTGTCGTACAGCCAGCTGTTGAATAAGGTTGATGAATAATTGGGGTGCTCCGTAGTACTCGAATAGTTTCCAAATTACTTCGCGGTCAACGCTGTCTGTCGAAGGCCTTCTCAAAGTCTATGAATTTGAGGTAGATAGAGGTTTGATCGCCATTCCATGCTTTGTTCGATGATGATGCGTAGAGTTGCAATTTGGTCAGAACATGATTTGCCTGACTTTCCTGAATCCAGCTTGTTCTGGTCGGAGTTCTGTGTCCAGTGCGTCCTTAATTCTCTCCAGGACGACTCGATTCAGGATTTTACTTGGCGTCGACGAGAGCATGATTCCTCGCTAGTTCTTGCAGAGTGAGGCGTAAGTCGCACTTCTTTGGTAGTTTCTCAAGGTAATCTTTCCTCCAGTCAGTAGGCACCTTTCGCTCCCTCCAGACCTTTTGCAATAGTGGAGTCAGCATGTATGCTGTCGTCTCTGGGTCCGCTTTCAGTGCTTGATTGCATTCAAGACTTCAGCTTTCGTTGGAGGATTGGTGTCAACTTGCAGTTGCATATGTGCTGTTCTTGGTATTTCTGGACGGGTTGCAGGTGGTGGTCGGTTCAAGAGTCCTTTGAAGTGATCCGCCCTTTGTTTAATCTGTTTTTCTTCCTTGGTAATTGGGTCCCCTTGACTGTCTTTTATAGGTTTCCCTTGTGTTGGTCTCTTCCCGGATAGAGATTTGGTTATCTGATATAGTGACCTCAGGTCCTTTCTGCCTGCTGCCTTCTCAGCTTCAGTGGCCAGGTTGTCGCAGAATTGTCTTTTGTCTTTCCTAGCACTCTTCTTCACTTCTTTGTCCAGTGCTGTGTAAGTTAAACTCAGCGTCTTCTTCTCTTGTCCGTCTTTGCATTGAATCATTTTCTCTTTCACCATTCTCCTCTCCTCTATTAGCTTCCAAGTGTCCGTTGAGAGCCATTCCTTGTCCTGTCTCTTCTTTCTTCCTAAAACTGTTGAACACGTTTCGTTGAAAATCGCCTTCAGAGAGTTCCAATGTTCTTCCACGCATGATTCTTCAGTGATGTCACGTAGTGTTTCCTGCTTTGCTCTGACAGTTGCAGTGGAAGTATCCTTTGTGGCTGTGTCCTTTAGTTTTTGAGTATTGAACTTGCATTGTGGCCTGTCCTCAGCTATCCTCGAGGCTTTCAGATTCACCTTGAAAGTCCCTTGTACTAGATATTGGTCTGAACTCACATCTGCTCCTCTCCTCGACCTTGTGTCTAGTAGGCTCCGTCTCCACTTTCTTGAGATTGAAATGAAGTCTATCTGATTTTTGGTGTTTCCATCTGGTGAAATCCATGTCGTCTTGTGTATATCCTTGTGTTTGAACACACTGCCACCAGTCACCAAATAATTGAAGGCTCAGAAGTCTGAGAGAAGTTCACCATTGTCGTTTACTTCACCGAGAGCCTCACGACCCATGGTGAGTTCTCTTCCTGTGTTGTCTCCTCCCAGCTTCGCATTCATATCACCCATCAGGATTTTGATATAGCCATTTGGGACGTTGTCCATTATTGTTTGTAGTTGTCTGTAGAACGCCCCTTTCTTCTCTTGTTCTGAGACGTTTGTGGGCGCGTAGCATTGGATGATTGTAACCTTGCTTCCTTTTGAGTTGAACCTGGCTGTCATTATCCTGGAGGAGACTGGTTCCCACTGCATGAGAGCTTTGGCTGCTGTTGTTGACATCATGATGGCCACTCCCTCGGTGTGCTCGTGGTTGTCCTCTGGGTGACCAGAATAGAATCCTGTCTCTCCAGTTTGTAGTTGGCACCTTCTACATTCGTTCCATTAGTTCTCGCAGATTCCCAACACTTCTATTCTATATCTCCTCATTTCTGCTGCTACCTGGGCAGCCTTTCCAGTTTCTTACATTGTACGAACACTCCACGTCTCCATTCTTATTTTTGCTTTCATCAAAAGAAGTCACATCGGCTGACTGGCTTCCCGAATGGCTTTCACCAGCCTGCGTCATTTCACTCCCACGATTCCAGCGAAAAATAAGGTTACAGTTAATTTTTAGTATTTTCGATATTTTTGTTCATTGAATTTTCTGGGGCGATTTGGTTACGTTTTGGTGGTGTAGTTGCTAACACCATGCCCCAACCCTTCCTTCTTATGAGGGCTTGGGTCCGGCTAGAAATCTAGCGAGCTAGTAATCTAGGCGACATTTGAGATCCATACTTGTATGTAGAAACTAACATATAAATCACTGGTAACATTTTCGAAATTACCTCTCATAGTGTTAGTAAATAATTCTTACCTTAGTTTTGAAGTTAATCTTACAAACCTTGAAACAAACTTCAGACACTGAAAATACAGCTCATAAAAATATTCCTATATTCTGGTGTGGTAAATTTACCCTTTTAATTCACAATAATCCAATTTTTCAATTCATTCCCGCTTTAGATGATGAATAAAGACTAGACGAATCTTATCTTTTGTTTGTTTTGTGTTGTTTTCCTCATCCAATATTTTGGTAATTTTTGGTGGACGGACCTGTTTGTTTTTAAAAATTAACTAAGTATGACACATTGATAACTTCATCAATGACTTCTCTGAAAGGTAAGAGGACAATATGTTAATGATAATCTGAACTCACCAGTATGGTTCTAAACCATTTTTTTCTGTGAAAATGAGGTATATTGTGTTGTTGAGTTGTTAATGTAACCTATTCGAAGGAGATAAATTCACGTACATTCAGTTGTAATGTTAATATTTGATTATCTACAGTTATTTGGAATCTACAAACTTCCTCCGTTCAGACAAGTTTCAACTGGAAGTAATGAAAGGCAAAGATACCTAATAACTTAACTGGGGTAAACACTTGAATTTCACACTTGAAATTTTGTTGAAGCAATGTAAATTCATGTAAAATCGCATATGTATACATTTTGCCAATTATTTTAAGTACCAAATATTTGTAGGCAAATAAATGTAACTCCAACCTCGTACATGGTCTGAGGTTCATTGCCAACCAGCACACTCCAAAATAGACTGTTTTAGCCTGTAGTAAGCCTGGCTATGAGGGGAGGTTTTGCTAAACCCCATCCCGTAAAAACAACAATAAGACTGCTACTAAAATTCCACTAAAAACTCAAAGGAATGAAAAACGTGTATGATTTTCAAAGTAAAGGTTTGTATTATTTCAACCCAACTTTGTTATTTCCATTTAGGAAAATAATTTTCTTAACATTTATTGTATGATTGTACTAACTAAATTTAGGGCGTAGTAAATAACGGGTGGTTCAGAAAGCCTTTATGACTCCAGGTTAAGGGCAGTCTAAAATCTTTTCCTTGCAGCAGTAAATAGACTACAGGTGCTTTATTAGAACATAATTAATCCAGAGATTTTGTTCACAGAAATTTCGTTTCATTGTTGAATAAATCCTTCCATTTCAACTCGGCGCAATCAATATTAAGCAATAACAGCTTCCGAACCAACTTTTTGACATTTTTCTAATTAGATAAATAAAAAAGTACGTAGTCATACATATGCAGATTTGCAGATGTTGTGGACATCCATTTGATTATGGTTTACTGTTCGGTTGCTTATACTCAGACTCAGTGTACCGAATGATGTACTACTACTGACTTTTCTTGTGTAGTAGTTTACTCCACACTTTTCTACCAGGAAAATAAGTGATGATTTCAGAAAATACAGTTTTCTCATCGATAATACACTAGTACTTGCAGGTTGATTTCTTTGTGGTGCTTCTCTGTGACGTGATTGGTCAAATCACTTTTTTTTTATTTTACTGATTAAATCTACATTTTAAAGTATTTTGAGCATACATCTGCCATCAGTAAAAAAAAAAGGACGAACAACCAAAAAATGAAATTAGTCACTTAAATGAATTAAACATATATGATCGGGTGATGAAGGATATAATGTTAAACTGAAAATGATTTCGGGTTCACACACAGTGAAGATCACATAATCACTGGAACGGTCTACTATTTCTCGAAATTTCGGTTATAATCAAAGTATTATTGATTCCTGATGAAAAACTGCAATACCATTATTTCTGAATATTTTTTGGAATCCAGACATATATTAACCACATGTCATTTATTGTGATAGTTCGACATAATTCCAAATTATAAGTGGATAGACATATTCCGGCCTTAACAGTTAGCCCATAATCCAAATGATTCAACCAACTAGAATTTTGTTTTTTTTCAATGAGATTATTCACTTGTTTTCATTGGTTGATTTACACATTGATCAGGGAGTGAGAATTAGTTGCCAAAGTATAGTTAATTTACACATGTGGAGTATCGAAATCATTTTAAAAAGTGAAAGTTTATCGTACATCTGAAATCAACATCTGTATCGAACGGAATTTAGACTTCACTTTGACTGACAATTACTGAACCCGGTGCAGTCTTCAAAATTGGCCTCAGTTTATCTGTCATTTCACTCTAAACACAAAGTTGCAGTTGAACATTGTACGCTTACCTCAAGTGAGATTCATTCATAGTGCCTCTCTTATTTAATTATACCAAAATAATAGTTTGAAGACACTGGTTTTGCCGTTTAGTTTAATTGCTTTCCACATTCACTGTCTTGCTTATTCACTTATTATTTCACCACAATGCTATGCTTTCATGTAGAGTGCCTTTTTATTTCTTCTACTGACATGTGTTCTGTCAGATGTTTGGTTCAACATGCAGTTTACCTATTTTATTTGTAGAATATTTTAGTGAACAGTTTAACAAGATACCTACTTACTTGTGTTAATTTGACTTCATCCCAATGCATCTTAGACTCTTGAAAACAATTATAACAAAAAAATCTGTTAATAGTTTAGCCCACAGTCATATCACCACAACCCCTTTGAGTTTATTGTCCAAGCTATTCTTGCTTTCCTCAAATTACAGTTTATTTTATTTTTAAATTCCTGTTGTTCAATTACTTTATTTCATAATGTTGCGCTGTGTGAAACGCAAAACTAGTAAAAGTAGGACACCAACACCAGGTGGTACAAACGAAAGAGGTTGTTCAACATTACCACGAATGGGTCATCGATCAGACAGTGACGAAAATATTTCAGAAAAGCCATCATCATCTTCCAGACCAACAAGATGGACAATGGAAAAAAAGTCAGCCACTTTAACAGCTGGTTGCACATTATCTTCTGGGAATGAGACGAAAACAAAAAGCAAAACTCTCACATTTCTACGCACGTTGTCTCTGGGTTCCTTATTCTCGCCATCAAGGAGACGTCGCAAAGATGACTCTACTACTGCTTATTCTTCAGGTCTAATGTCTCCTGACGTAGAATTACAAACATTTTCTAACGATTCTCAGCCGAATATCCAACGGGGACAAGACGAAACTGATCTAAGTCCGTCTGAAGGAGCTCTAACACCAACTGCGGAAGAAACTTATCAACCTCAGTCTAAACAAAGTCGCAAACAAGAATTGTTTTTGGAAAAATTAACGAAAGAAGCCTTCAGTTTTTCAAGGGATGACAAAAACAAAACACCAACTGATGAAAATGCAAATATTCTATCAGATGGAAAACACTTCCACAGACATTTAGATGATCAGCATGATTCAGGTAGAAGTTCTACCAGAGAATCAGCAGAGGTTTCTGTAGCGTCGGACAGATCAAAAAGAAAAGCCCCCACGAGTGGGGTTCCTAATGAACCAGAGAAACAATCAGTAGCAGTGCACAAAATTGCTCCTATTGCAGTAGATGTAAGTCACTGATAATTTACATTTTATAATTCATTTTTAATGTCAGAGTTCTTTTGCTGAGGTGAGTTCACTTTTAAAATATGCACATAATGGTAGAGTATTTAAGACAGGTATAGAATTATACAGATATATATATATATATGTCTACTCAGACTCAAGTATATAAATAAAAAGTATAAGACCTTTGAAAAATGATCGGTGATTTAGTGTGTGAAGGCTGACGAACGGATTTAACGCAAAGTAAGTTGTGAAGCAATGAAGGACAGGTGTTTAATCCCAGTTTGAGAAGTAGCAGAAGTGTATATAGATGAAAATTTTAAATGTTCCTATAAATTGAATTTATGTTAAGATAACAGATCAAGGCAAAGACTTCTAAACAGAAAGTTTCACAGATAATCACTTGAATTATACCCTCTACAGAATAGTTCAATTCTTGTATATGCGCGACATACCCTCCTGGTAAACACGTTTTCAAGGCCTTAACAACATTTTCACAGTTATTTTTACGCTACAAAAAAGCTTGCTGATTATATATATCACATTGACAAAATTCATAACACGGTTCAAATTCAGGCATCAGTTACTTTTACATGTGTGACCTAGATTGCATATTGATGATTGAGCACTAAGCATAAATTTGTTTCATCATAAAACTGGCCTTACTAAATAATATTAATCAATTAAACAGCTAATTAATAAGTAACAAAAAGCTGTCTGTTTGATTAACGCCAACGTAAATCATTAACTTTAAATATTGGATGGCAAAAGGAAAACGAAAAACCATGATACTGTATCGATCAAGTAGAACATTTGTCAAACGTATTCATCCCAATATGCTAACCACAGATACATATTTTACTTTATTGTTTAGTGGAACGAATTGAAAAAAAGTGTTATAAGGGTAGTTTAATCATTGATGATTCCTGTGAAATGTTGTAGTTCTTTGGTAGCTTATACTATCATATTCATATTTAATAATTACTTCTTTGTAAAAAAACAACGACTATAACTGAACTGTATTTTTAATATAAAACCTAACACAAAAGTACAACAGTTTTAGTTGTAAAATATATGAAAATATTTGTTTTTAACAAACATAGGAAAATATTATTCCCCGAAAAAACACTTTTTCCAATATGTCTTATTATGTAGATACACATGTGTGAACCATAAATGTATGTGTGAATATTCATATACCGATTTGAAACACTTACTATTGTATGCAAACATTTCATGTCAGCGTGTAAGTTAGTGCCAATATTTTATTACTTTTACATAATCAGTGAAAAGTTATAAACACTGAAAAAAATTCATGAAGTAAATGTAAAATTCAAGGGGATAAATAATAAAAAAAACTGGGATTAGAAATTTGGCTCAAACTTAAATATTTGTGTATATTGTTTGTCACACTCAACAGCCGTTTAGGCCACTGCTTATATAAGATTATCTGACCTGTGTTGCACACAAAGGACAGGAAGTAAAATATCGTAAACTCAGTGTCCTGATGTGATACAAAGAGAAACTGCAGAAGTTTACACATGTTTAGCGCGAGACTTTTCTATTTAGACCAAAGAAATAGAAATTAATACAGCAAATTGGACATTTTAAACTGAAGTGCGCTTGACTGTGTTGCATTGTTTGAAATGAAATACTCTACGTTGTTTTTTTTCTTAATTTCTAATATTTATTTATTTTATTTATTTATAACTTATTTATTTTATTTTTATTTATTTATCTTTGATTTTTAAAAATCTTATATAATTTATGAGGTAATTAGATGCAATATACTGTAATATACTGTAATGCACGCTGAAAATTCCATACCTGTACCACAAATACTGTTTGGAATAAAGCTATTATTATTATTATTATTATTGTAATATAAGCTCCACCGTTATTAATTAATGGTCTTGTTACAGTGATGGTTCACTGTGACTGATGAAACCATTTTCAGGAAGAGTAAAATATGCTAAAATAAGAAGAATGTAGACACGTTATTTTCAAAGGTGGACTAATAACGAAGAGATAACACGTTTGTCCAGTCTAACGAGTATGCTTTTTTTTTGTAGAATTCCATATTCTCCTTAAGATTTATTGTTCTGCTTTATGCCATAAGCTGAATGCGGAATCACATTAATTCTATTGAAAAGAATAGGAAAGCAGAAAAGTTACAATTAACAGAGAAATAATCCTGTGTATTTCATAGCTTATTTCTTGACAAAATACTTGGTGCAAAGAAGAAATAGAAACCACGTCCTAAAACACCATGAACATCTATATGTTTTCTTAATGTGAAGCTTATTTTTGTTTTCATTTCCATTGTAGTTCTGTGAGTATTTCTCACACTGCAATCTGCAGAAATACCCATAGAGAGGTGTAAGAATTAACAGACACTTTATCACACAGTACACCTTAATTCGGAAAACCTCATTTACGAAGCACCCTTTCAGTATTGATAAAACTGTAACACTCCTATCAACCTCTCTATTAACCGAAAATAATTCTATAAACCTTAATTTAAAAAATCATGTCCTCACAAATACCAATTTTGATCTTTTGAGCACCACCCTAGCGAATCTAAATGTTAAGCCTAACAATGATTAAAAAATGAACATTTCCAGTTCTTCATTTTATTTAAAATAGCTAAGCTATGATCCCTTCATTTACGCGGTAGAACATTTAAAATATGTATACTTTTTTTTCTGCCAAAATGCTTAGTCGTAAGGGAGCAGAATGGCAGGGCGTCAGTGGCACAGGGGTTAGGACTCTCGCCGACCATGCACATGGTCTGAGGTTCGATCCCCTACCGACGAACACCTGATATCTATCGTCGGCCTACAAAATTTGGGCTGCCGATATACATGCTGAAAATTCCATACTTGTACCAAAAATACAGTGTGGAATCAAGCTGTAATCAATAATTAAAAAAAATAACATCTGCAAAATAAATGAATCCAATAGAATACTTTATCTTTCAATAAAAGCACATGTGGCTGTAGAATCCATGGCAAATGCGAGTCAAATAACTAAATTCCCCGACTGTATTTCACACTCAGCCTTCCTGGTTTGTATATTAATACAGAACCTTAATAATTCTTCAGTTACTACACTCAGTTATCTGAGTTGTGTTTAAACGACTCAGTTGCTATTGTTGCTAACAGTTCTAAAATTTAAATTACAGAATGTATAGGATATAATTCAGATTATTACAATGCTGCCTATCAATCAAAGCTAGTCTTGAATTGCTTCACAAACGTCTGTATTTGTTTAGAATTGCGATGAATTTCACTGATTATAGATAACAAATCATGTATATGTACAATGAATGACAAATTTTTATCCATTGCTAAATGGAGAAAAATATTTGTGGATGCATTTTAAATAGCCATAGTCTATACTAGCTTTATTATTATCATCATTTTTACGACATGCAGCAGAAAAACTCTTCTCATACTTCTATCACTGGGGACAGTCTGCTTCTTCGAATTTAACAGTAGCTCAGAACATTATAAACTAGCGCATCCTGACACATCAAACGTAATGTATTTACACGTTCGTTAATATTTTTACTAATCTGATAACCGTAAATTTCTCTAGAAACAAAAGTAGGTAAGATATGACTAGTTAGGTCGAAAAATATTCCCCAAAAATCGTTTCGTTTATTCCATTTCCTTGGTAAGCTTAGCGACAAGAAATCATTTACTTTTATAAGCGGAATCATTTGACACTAATTATATATATATATATAGACTTAAACCTTCTGCACAAATCTTCAATGTCAAATTTCAGTGAAGTAGTGATTCCCTTTTGGTGATGAAAGTTACCATAGCTTCATCTTTACAGCCAATTAAAAAAGAGTGAATTTAAAGTATGAAGCATCCTTGAAGAAGACGGCTAAACACTTCACTGAACACAGTGACTGACATTATAAAGGACTTATTAGCATACGTGTAAGACTATCAAAGGTGTATCTAATCTAACAGGTTGGATGATTATGAAAGAGTAATTACTTAATTTACAACGGAAAGCTGGTTTACCTCAAGATTTAAACTGACAGTGACGATGGTTATGAGATTTTATCGCCAAAAAGTCCCCTAGAGTGAGATGCAGATATCTAAATTAGTTTTGAACAAACCTCCTGAAGACGGACTAACGCCATAGTTCGATATGATGTAGACTATTTTACAGTTTTAGTAACTGTCACTGTACTCTGACTATAACTGTTCAATTAATTTCTAACTAAAATTTAAGCGATAAAAGGTCGCATGTTTAACTATAGGTTTTGTTTATTTTCTCTTGACTACTTTCTTAATGGTAAAAAATCATTATATTTCGCTGAACACTTCTTTCCAGTACATGTGTACAAGTTGACTAATAATAAAAGTGTCTCATTTTTGACATGTGTCTTATCAGTTTTGCAGGTAAATCAACCAATACTCACTGAAAATAGAGCATGTATGTCTCTCATTTGTGCAGTGACGATGACAACAACCACCCATATGCATGATAATCTGAGTCACCATATTTTCAGACTAATCAGTTAGTTTAAAGTTTAACTTGATTCACGCCATTTACTCATATCCAAATCATGACCGTAAATAAAATAACCAATTTGTTTACTCAGAAGGTTGTTTATTATCTCTTACTATATAGAATAATAAGAAAAAAACATACAACATACCGTTTCATATTCTTTTGTTTATTTAAATTATTAATTTGGGACATGAAGTGTAATGTTCTCTATCTCCTGTAAACTAACTACAGTATACCTGGATTCCACGGCTAGTCACCATCCACGAATTAACCCCTAACTAGAGTAGAGTTATTTTAGAAGTGGTTGATTTTAAGTTTCACAGTACAGGTGAATGTTGAACGCACACATCTCAAAGACAACCAGCAATAGTCATCTTACTAACATTTTTAATGCTTCCATTTCCAGTAATGTTCTACCTTTTGCATGGAAAAACATTAAAATTATCCTCATACCAAAACCATCTTCT